GTGCGGGGGATCCCTGACTCGGACGCACACAGAGCTGGGCTGCAGGAAGGGGACCAGGTGCTCTCGGTGAACGATGTGGATTTCCAGGACATCGAGCACAGCAAGGTGAGCTCTCTAGAGCGGGGACAGAGTGAGGAATACGTGCACACACCATCGCCTTCCTGCCTCCACCGCCTCTTTCCTGTCGTCCAGCCCAGTCTGGTCCTTGAGCAACTCTTTTTGCTTCCAGGCTGTGGAGATCCTGAAGACAGCCCGTGAGATCACCATGCGTGTGCGTTACTTCCCCTACAGTAAGTGCCCGCTAGCTCTGAGCCCCGTCACCTACCAGCATTCCTCCTTGGGAAACAGATACCGCGTGCCTCTCCCTGCCAATTCCACCGGAGCTTTGAGGTTATGAGTCTGAGGTCACAGACCGTGTTAACTTATCAGCCTGCAGATCAGAAAGAATATTGGGCTTGGATTTGGGGATCAGGACAGCTACCAAGTCAAAACAGTCTTCAGCAACTCATGTAGGAAATCTTGCAGAGCAGGGCTTAGCAACAGTGCTAAAAGCTGGGGTGATGGTTAGATGGAAGCAGTAACTGTAGAGCTGTAGGTGCTGCTGCTTATCCTTGAATAACAGGGATGAGTTCTGGTCACTGGTGGACCTCTGCCACTGGTGGATGCTGCTTGTGGCCTTTATCCCTCCCAAAGAACATTTAAATTCTGAGATGAAAAGACTATATTAACTCTTGGAACCCATAAAGTTTCCTGTGTTGACTCTTGGAACCTATAAAGTTCATAGATAAAGGTGGGGAAAAATTGAGGTCGAGTCAAGCCAAACAAGGATTCCTCATAAAACAGCAACTGACCCTTAAGAAAGATGAAAAATAGGGAGCAAGGCAAGTAAGGACTTTAAACTTTTGTTCTAAATACCCTGAAATAAATTGAAATGAGTGGCTGGGGTGTGAATGTGCTGCTTTAAAGCCAGCTGCTACTCAGGAGGGTAGCAAACAAACTGCTTAGTGAGGAATAAAGAGAGTTTTCCTCTAACATTGTGGCTAATTCCTCTTTGCCGTTAGCGACTCTCACTTGTGCCCTTTCAGCCTTGCCTTCTCGTTCCCTTCCAGATTACCAGAGACAGAAGGAAAGAACCGTTCACTAGTAGGTGGCTGTCTGCTGGGTCTCCAGAGCAAAAAAAAACCCACAACTGTCCACTATTTTTCCTCAACATCTGAGATGACGCATCAAGTTTCACCTGTCACTGGAGCTACAACTGTCCTGCTGGCTGCACAGGCCTCAGCTCCGCTCCCTGCGTGGAGGGATGCCGACAGAGAATTACCGAGCTGGAAGATGGCTGGGGCTTTAGTCTGTACTCCTTGAACCGGGTGTTGAAACAAGCTCACGGTGCTAATGTGGCAGTGGGTACCGGAGGGCAGCTCCTCCAGCAAGACCTGTGTTTCTCTGCCAGGAGGACTTCATTCAAGAGTGCTCTGCTGGCTGTTGTTAGCATGTAAGGCCAAGAGGGCCTGAATGTGCTTGAGCAGAGCACAGCCTTTGTCCTCCGAGAGATCAACCTGTTCACTTCTCTGGTGACACAACATTCTTTCCTTCTCCACTATCCTACCTCTGCTCTACGCTACTGGGTTTGCTTGGGACTCCAGGAATGGCAGTAAAATCCATTCAAACTCAGCACACTAGTCTGCCGAGGCGTATTTGTACCTCTTTGCTGCTTAACGATCCCCACGAGCCAGGACCGAGAAGCTCGGAGCGTGTTTTGAGCTGGTGCGGGCGCTTGGCCAGGTTCCCACAGGTGTGGTGCTTCACGTTCAGGGTTTCACTCGCTGAACCTGCTCCTTTCGCTTTGCACAGCCCTGTCCCTGTCTTGTGCTGCCCTCAGCACTCCCCGCCACTTCGAGGCAAACCTCTCCCCTTCTCTCTTTGCCGAGAAGGGGGAGGAAGCCTGCTGGGCCCTGCGCTCAGGATGAAAACATCCCGATTATGAGCAAAGCTGGGTGCAGACACACGGAAGTATCACGTTGTAAATGGCATCAGGACAGCCCTCGCTCTGGCTTTCTCTGCGGTGTTTTCCGCTTATCTGTAATAAATTAATAAAACGAGTACGGCAACCAGAACTCATCCCCCCTCAGGAAGTCTCTCGGGAGGGTTGGCTGTGACCGCCCTCAGCGCTACCCCAAGGAGGCAGCTGGGACAGGGCTTGGCTCCGAACCGCCCTTGCAGCCCGCAGGAGGGCAGCGTGGGAGCCATGGGGGGTGCAGCTCTGTTTCAGGGGTGTTTTTCCGCTGGTTGTGACGGAAGCCTGCCCTCGATTAGCCTGGTTTCAGCGCTGCCAGGAGTAAGAGCTGGAATGGGGGATTTTTTCTGCAGTGGCAGTAAAGCCACTTGTTGAGCCAGGTAAGAGCAGCATTACCCTGAGGTAATTAGCGGGATGCCCTCAGAGCTGTCACTCTGATCCCGTGACTGGCTGTGGGCTAACAGGAAAGAGGGGATTTTTTTC